TCATTATAAAAATGAGTTTCCACTTGACAATATGCTCAATTTTAGCTCTCAGCATAGGAACGCACGAGGTGATTACACATAATATGTATAATTGATACAGCAAAAATTCCCACCAGCAGAGGTTTAATACAGGGCTGCAAAATGAAAGATATTTCAGGTTTTTTTCAAAAGTTGGAGACCATGAAAGGGTCGTAATTAAATTCCTAATGGGAGAGGGACATTTTATTGTAATTTGAGGGAGAAAAAGCAAGTCAGAGGCTCGCTCTGGCAGCTGCCTGAGGGGCTTCACACGAGGTTACACAACAGCTCCCAGCTCCTGGGGTGTCTGATGGGAAGTGCCCACACCTTCCATAATATCTCCTCAGCCTGTCAGAGCGATTTTCCAGTTGAAAACAACAGCAGTGTGAGCACAATGTGGAGCAGAGCATGTGCCTGGGAACGGCACATCAGGAGGGATCATCGTCTCTGGGAGGAGGTGAGTCCAACCCCAGGGGCAGGGCAGGTCCCTGCAGCACAGCCAGGGCTGGAGACACACCAGTGCTCCTCCTTCTTGGTCCAGCACAACAGAATTTAAGAACTAAAGGCATTGCAATCTAAATTATTTAATGAGAAGCAGGAAAAGAGTTTGTCTTCCATTACCCCTTTCCTCTCCCTCGTGGCTGGGTGACCCTTTGCTGCTCGACTGCTTCACTTTTGCTGAATAATTTTTGAAGCTGCATCCCAGGGACACAACCCTGTGCAGACACCCCTGACTGCTGCAGCCTGTCCTGGCTCTGCTGCTGGAAAGGAACAGCACCAGGAGTGTTGGCAGCAGCACTTCTCTGCAGTGACAGAGACACACATTAATCAAGGAGCTGCACGACCCAGCAGATGCTCATTAGGTCGCAGAAAGAAGCCACTTTGAGTTGTTGAGCCACAGACATTTATTTTACCTGCAATCCCAACAGGCCCCAAAGCACCTGTTTTGTAAGAGGGAACATTGCACAGACAGGAATGAAAGGCACAAAACACTCAGTAAGAATCCTCCCTGACCCAGGAGACAGATTCTTTGTCACCAAGGTGTCAAAGTTGTCCCAAATACCACCCAGAGCTCCATGAGAAGGTCCTTCAGCTCCTGCACAGCATCTCCTGTCAGGGGGGACTGAGGGAGCTGGGCCTGGTTAGTTTGGAGAAGACTGAGAGGGGATCTTATCAATCTGTAGAAATATCTCCAAGGGGTGTCCATAGGATTGTGCCAAACTCAATCCAGTGGTGCCCACTGACAGGACACAGAGCAATGAATGGTCAGAAACTAAACCACAAGAAGTTCCACCTCAACATGAGCAAGAACCTCTTTCCATGGAGGTGGCAGAGCCCTGGAACAGCTGCCAAGGGAGGGTGTGGAGTCTCCCTCTCTGGTGACATTCCAAACCCACCTGGACACATTCCTGTGCCACCTGCTCTGGGTAGGTGGGATTGGACTGAATCATCTCCAGGGGTCCCTTCTAACCCTAAAAATTCTTGGATTCTGTGAAATAATAGAGATTTTTTTGTAGAACCCACTTGAATGAGGTCTGGGAGGGAACCTCAAGGAGCCCAACTCCTTTCTCCCCTTCCCCTTGGAAGGAGACAGGGCTGGTGGCTCCTCAGCCTTCCCACAGAGCTTCCCCTGCAGAGCTGGGCTGTGGGAGACAGCCTGGATGAGAGATAAAGATAATTTATGGGAGACACCAAGGGAGAGTTATGGTTTTTAACAGGCAGTTTTGAAGCAGAATACTACCAATATACAGAGTCCTTGGTTTCACTATATAAATATCTCTGACAGCCAAACAATAACTCTGCCTCTTATTTTAGAGTTCAGAACCCAAACTGGTAGACTTCCTAACTCTCCACACTCCTGCTGTTCCCTGAGGTGCTTCCAAGATGATCACTGTCAGAGTCACAGAGTCTATAAAAAGGATGAAGGAAGCTGGGAAATTTCCACAGAGGTGGTGCCAGCAAAACAGAGTGAACATCTGAGCCATCCTTGAGTAAAGCCAGGCTGCACCACTGGAATTCCAGCAGTGCAGTCCAAGAGCTCCCCCAGCTGAGCTCTGGGATGGCTGCAACCACTTCCAGACCACGGTGAGCTGCTCAGGTACCTGGAAAGTTCCAGATCTGCTCCAAGGGATATTCAGATTTACTTTTGGAAGCTTGTTCAGGGAAGAGCTTGAGAACTCATTAACAGGAGCTGTCACAGTGAAGAACAAGGAAGAAATGACTTGGGCAAGTGGCAAACTCTTGCCTTATGCTTAAGGGAACAGCAGGGAGGCCCTGCCAAACCAGCAGTGGCATCTTGTCACAGCCCATCTAGTTCTGTGTCACACACTGGCATTTATATAAGAAAAACTCCACTGAACAGGAAAACACTTTGCTCAGAACATGGTCTGTCCTCAAAATCCTCCTTCTCCCCCCAGCTGGGGGAGGTTCAGAGAACCAGTGACTCCCAGAGAACTGCACAAACACAGAATCACTGCATAAAAATCCTCCTCTCCTTTTTAAACAGGGGGAAAAGTGCATTTAAAAACCAACAAACAAAGCAGGTGCAGAGCAAGTTCCTGCTTGGGTTTTTAAGCAGCGACACCTGAGCTCCTTGGTAAAAATTTCAAGCAGATTTTATGATTTCTCTTCTCTACTCCCACTCTAAGCAGCAGTGACTGAACTCCTCAACTCCTCTCAGGGGGATTTTAGCTGTTCCCCAGCTTCTCCCCAAAATTCTCAGTAGATCAGACAAAAATAAGAGCTCCCAAGAACTTCTGAAATCTGGTACTTGCCAGATGCACTTTTGCATCTATAACTTCCAATTCTTTCTGATTTTTTAACCTCTTCACCCAAACATGCCACACAAAGGTGCTTTGAGTTTTACTCTTGGGAGGTTTGTTTTGTTTCTCTGTACAATCCCTATTTCCCACAGAAACAAGAGCAAATATAAAGATATGGTAGGAAGTTGGAACTTGATGATCCTTAAGGGCCTTCCCAACCCAAACCATTCTGGGATTCTATGAAAAAACACTGTTTAGTAAAGATGAGGCAACAGCTTCATGCAAAGAGTTTCTCATCCTTATGATATCATATCATATCATATCCTTATGATATCCACATATCAGAACTACAATACTCCAAAAAAACCACAAAAAAACACTAAACACTAAAAAACTGCCATCAAATCCAAGGGAAGAAAAGGAAAACAACAAAAACCACCAAAAAAAACCAACCAACCAGCATGAAGTGCAAGAAGAAAAGCAGTTTAAATGAGGCTACAAATACTTCGTGTATACTCCATTTAGCAGCTGTTCTTTTAAGTTTTACTCACACTGTGGGTTTGCAGAACAGCCAGTGATTTCCTGCTGCTTTTCCAGCTTCTCTTTTAAGGGTGAATTTGCTCTTATTTCTACTTTTGGAAAGTGTTAACCCTCCATTCCAGGCAGCACACAGGCTGAGTCAGAGCCCATTAACACCCAGGGGTGGAAGGAGCAGAGAGAGGGAACAGGAGGGAACAACCCAAGCCAGAGCTGGGCTCAGCTGCTCCCACAGCTCCTGGAATAAGCAGGGCTGGGTGGGGACACCAGGGGAGGGAGCACCAGGCTGGAGGTGACACTGTGGGATGTGGTGGGAGGGGATGAGGAGCTTCCCGTGTGCTGCGGCACCACCTGGTGGAGATGGGAACCGGGAAAAGGGGCTGGAACGGGGTGATTCCGGAGGAAAAACTGACAGGATCTAAACCCAGAGAATCCTGGAATATGCTGAGCTGGGAGAGTCCTCCAAGGATCACCAGCCCAACTCCTGGCCTTGCACAGACACCCCAACAATTCCCCCCATCCCTGAAAGCGTTGTCCGAACACTCCCGGAGCTCGGGCAGGTTTGGTGCTGAAACTTTGGAGGGAAGAACCTTTTCCTGAGAGCATTTCACACCCCATTTACAATCCAGAAATCCTTTTCTTCAACTCAGGCTTGTTTAACAGAGGCACCAGAAGAGATCCTGCAAAAACCCACCTGAAGGAGGGAGACGAAGGATCGGGAATGTCGGGAAACATCTCCCGACGTGTCGGAAGGAGTTTTAAAATCCACATTAATGCTACAGCAGATTCAGCCCCTCCTTCCACCCCCTTTCCAGGGCTGGAAAAGAGCATTAGAGCCATTCATTAAAGCCTCCTGGTTCCTGGGGGCTTTTATGAGCCCACAGGCACCAACATTCCCGGAGATATTCGGTGTCACCAGGGACTCATCGGGCTGAGGGATGGGATCTCACCTGCCACTGCCAGGGCACAGTGACAGCAGCTCCACTCTGACATTTAAGCTCTAATTTGCAGGCAAATGTCAATATTTATTAGTCACACCAAGATCTTCAGCAAAGTCTCTGTGGTTATACTTTTAAACTGCTCGAAAAAGAAGGATATTGGCTCCTGGGAACTTATTCCAGACTTCTCTACGTTCTTAATTTCACCCTTAACTATTGATTACTTTTGTGGAAAGTTATTTTCAACCAGCCTGTGCACCAACAGTGTTAAAAGATGCTTGCAACCGTGCCAAAAATTGACTATGGAAAAATAACCCTTGGCCCTAGTTTGTCCCTGGAGCTGTAAACATATTTATGGATTTAAATAATGGAAATTTTAAAGCAACAGATGTTTCCTGCCTACAGCACAGTGCAAGAACAACAGACTTTCACTATGACAGTGCATCTGAAGCATCCACACACTCCCATCACCACTTGCTCTGCTGTGCATTAGTTTGCAGAAATCCCCCAAGTGTTGAAATCTGGTTTTAATCATGATGTCAACAAGTCTCCCTAAAAGTCAGGAATCAGGCCCTCTGAGCAAGGCAGTATGAAAGAAAGGAAGTCAAACTGCTTTTAAATGCAGAGGAGGAGAGGAGAGCAAAAAAAAGGGAATGGAGAGGTTATGAATCTGATGGAATTTGGCAGACCTGGAGAAAAGGATTTTTCAGGGCTCTCCAAGCAGAGGGCAACAGCCCTCACTTACCAGGATTTTGGCTCCCCAAAATGCAAGTAGTTGATGCTGTAGAGGTCCATGTCCTCTGTGTGCCAAGCAAAAGTTGTCTTCCACATCCCAAAGTAGAGGTAGGGAGTGTTGACACCCTCTATGATAATGCCACACTCGTGTTCCACCATGTCCAGGAGGGTGTTCAGGTTGCCAATGTTCCATTCATCCACGTCCTGGAATTCAGAAGAAATGTTTGGGACTTCTCAGGAAGAATCCCAGCCCACAGCTTCCTTTCAATGCCTTAAAATGCTGGATATAAGGGTGTTATCACCTGCATTCACTGAATTCCACCTGCTTCCAGAAAGCTTTATTTCATGTCCAGCACTGACCACAGGCAGGAAGGATCACCAGCCCCTCACTAATGTGTTCTTTGAAGAGGCATTTGCACTATAAAATACTCCACTAATTAATTAACTATTCTGTGAATAAACACAAGATAAACTCAGGGTAAAACACATTTCTCCCAAAGACATTCCAGGCAGTTTTTCTCCACCAGATGAACTTCATAATGTGACTTTAATGTGGCCAAAGAGGCAAAATCTTCCCCCTCAGCTGAGTGTTTCAGGGAAAGAACAGGGATGACAGTCCTGGTTTTATCAATAAGACAAAAAAAGCAGCAGGTAGTTCTAAATCTGACACTTGCTTTTCTCTGCTTCAACATGAATTTGAGAATTTGAATTTGTACCATTAACTGGAGCAAATCTCAAACCTGAAGACTGATACAATGTCCAAAAGGAAACTCAGAGCCTCCTCCACACCCTTTTTTCCAAGTGCCCTTGATTTGTGAGGAAGAAACTGAGAGGGATGGGAGCATTCCCTGCTCCAGGATGCTGCTTCTGGAGCAGCAGGACAGTGAAACTCAGTCTTGAACCTTTCCAAATCCTTTTCTCAGGCTGCTCAGGCTTGAAACTTTCCAAATCAGCCTGAAAAAAACCCAAACCAGGGGCAGGGAGGAAAGGGCTGAAGGAGGGAAGTGGCTGAAAAGTGAGATGATGCAGAGGGAGAAGGACTTTCAGGGACTCTCCCACCTCAATTCTTGCAGCCATGGCAGCAGTCTGAGACCAGGAAATGATCTTTAGGTGTGATTGGTAATTCAAATTTAATTTCTGCTCATATACAAGGAAACCCAATGTATATGGAGTTCAGTGCAGGAGCTACTTCTCCTAAAGAAGGAGTGTCTCATTATGTCACCTGCCCTGATCACACCAGGGAAGGAACATAGATATTAAAAAACATTATCATTTTATATTGTAATTTATATAATTTACATTCTTTATATTATATAGTCTATCTACTTTATAGTGTAATTCTAATCCTATATTATAACAGAATGAGATACTCTCATCCAAGCACCAAATCCTAGGGATACCTGTGATGCCCATGGCTCTGAAGGCCTCAGATACCTCTGCTTATTCCAATTAATTCCATATTAAACCCCACTGATAATAAAAAGACACTTTTACATTAACACTTCCACACTCAGACAATCAGAAAACACTCCAAAAAAGAGCCACTTTCCACTCCAAAGAAAACTACAGAGGAGAGATTTAAATTATCTGCCTAAACAGGGAAAGAAGAGAAGAACCTTTATCATCTCCAGCAGAAGAGACCACGGCAGAATTACTTTAAGCAGAGGATGAAATTTCACCAAGGAAAAGCTTAAACCACTTGAATTGTGAAATAATTCAGTGTGCAGGTGCATTGTGTCCTAATGGAGCTGCTCACAAAGAAAAAATCCAAATGCAAATAATTTCAAATCCAAACACAAATAATTTGTGTTAAGAATCAAAAAAAACCTATTTTTGATGAAGCACCAATTCCTTGAAATGCTGGGGTTTTTTCTGGCTCTCTAAGGAGCTTCAGCAGAAATCTCTGGTTTATTTATTCCCTTAAAAAAAGAAACAAAACCCAAGCTATCCATAATTTTTGGCCATCCACTTCATAAGAAGTTGTTTAAATCATATTTTTCTACTAAAACTAAGCTTTTCCCAGCTTCCTTTATACCACCATTATCCTGAACCTCTGAAGAAGGTGGAAAGTTTAGTCTCAGTTTTGTAACGAGGGAAAAAACAATAATAAAGGTATTATTTTTTTAAGGGCAGCTCAATCAAAGAAATTATTAACTAATGAGAAAAGAGCAATCAAGAAGTTATAGAAGGAATAAAAGAGGAGCATTTCACTTACTGCATCATACAGGGAGCCACTGATGTCAGCCCCATAAATTGGAGAGACAAAGGTGAGATTCTTCCAGTACTTGCGCTCCAAGTCCTCGAAATCCTGGTGTCGAGGAGTGCAGTACCTGGGAGGGACACGGAGGAGATGGGATGTGAGAGATCCTAAGGAATATTCCCACAGAAAAACCCCTAGGAAGCAGCAGGGGGGTCAGAGCAGGAGCTGCTCAAGGTGCATTTCAGTTTTGGTTCCTATCATTTGCTGCCTTTCCGACCTTTCCACCAGACCCCTCAGGGATGGGAAGCACCAGATCCCCATCCCAAGGAAATGTGGGATGAAGTTGTTTCACGGGGAGCTGAAGGCAGGGGAAGCACTCAGGGATCAGAAAAACTTCAAAGCTTCCATTACCATGGAATGGTTTGGGTTGGAAGAGACCTTAAAGCTCATCCAGTGACATGGGCAGGGACACCTCCCACTGTGCCAAGTTGCTCCAACCTGACCTTGGACACTTCCAGGGATGGGGCAGTCACAGCTGCTCTGGGCAACCTGTGCCAGGGCCTCACCACCCTCACAGGGAGGAATTTCTTCCTGATCTCCAATCCAAACCTCCCCTCCTTCATCTTAAAGCCATAACTGCCCAATGTCAGTATTGATTAAAACCCAGGGTACTCCAGACCTCTGGAAAAGTGACTCTGGAAACAGGATGGAACTGCAGTTTGCACCAGCTGGCTCATCCCAGCTGACTGAAGTGCTCTGCAGGGTCCCCGGGCTCTCAGGAGAGACTCGTGTCACCCATGTGAGCTCAGGAGACACTCAGGTCACCAATATCAGCTCAGGAGACACTCCTGTCACCTCTGTGAGCTCAGGAGACACTCATGTCACCAATGCGTGCTCAGGAGACACTCATTTCACCAATGTGAGCTCAGGAGACACTCCTGTCACCAGTGTGAGCTCAAGAGATGCTCGTGTCACCACTATCAGCTCAGGAGACACTCATGTCACCCCTATCAGCTCAGGAGACACTCGTGTCACCAATGTGAGCTCAGGAGACATTTGTGTCACCAGTGTGTGCTCAGGAAGACATTCAAGTCACCAGTATGTGCTCAGGAGACACTTGTGTCACCAATGTGTGCTCAGGAGACACTCCTGTCACCCCTATCAGCTCAGGAGACACTCCTGTCACCAATATCAGCTCAGACACTCCAAGATATTTGTATTTCTACCTCAGCAATGGAACACATTTTCCAGAACTACCATTAATACACCAAGAGCTCCTTTTTCAGTCCCAAGCCACTATTTTCAGGAAGATTCTCAGGCAAATCCTTGAAGAATTCTTCTACACCAACTCCCAGAAAAAGCTCTGAGACGCACCAAAACCCGGCAACGCACAAACTTTTCTGAGGGTCTGGGTGTAAGCTTTGAAGAAAAAGCACTTTCCTCCAACACACTTCAAATTTCACAAGGCTGCATTTCCCTTTGCAGAAGAAAAGCTTTCCCTACAACTCCCCCCTGCCCAGTTCTGAGCCCACCCCCGGACAGCACCGTACTTCTCGCTGTTGGCCAGGCGCCGATACTCCCCCACGGTCATGGGCTTCTTCTGGATGTTGTACTGGGTGAACAACCCTGACTGGCCAGTGACCACCTGCTGGATGGGAGCTGGGATCACCATGTCATCGATGTCGTCGTAGGTTCTCCGGGGCTTCCACTCCTTGGGAGGAATCACCTGGAATTGGGGGGGAGCAAAGGGAAGAATGACACTTGTTGTTCATGACGGGCAAAGGCAACTGCTGAGGGAAGGGCTGGTGAAGGGAAGGGATCTCATCCCAGTGCTGCAGGGCTTGGATAACAGGACACCTGCTGGGCTGACAGAGCTGCAGGGGGGCTCACAGCCCACCCAGAGCAGTCACAGAATCAGAATCAGCTGGGTTGGAAGGGACCTCTGAGATCATCAAGTCCAACCCTTGATCCAACCCCGCTGTGGTTCCCAGCCCATGGCACTGATGCCACATCCAGTCTCTTCTTAAAAACCTCCAGGGACGGAGAATCCACCCCTTCCCTGGGCAGCCCATTCCAATGGCTGAGCACCCTCTCTGCAAAGAAATTCTTCCTGATATCCAACCTAAACCTCCCCTGGCACAGCTTCAGACCCAGCCCTCTTGTCTTGCTGATGGTTGCCTGGGAAAAGAGACCAACCCCCCCCGGCTCCCCCCTCCTGTCAGGGAGTTGCAGAGAGTGAGGAGGTCTCCCCTGAGCCTCCTCTTCTCCAGGCTGAGCCCCCCCAGCTCCCTCAGCCTCTCCTCACAGCACTTGTGCTCCAGTCCCTTCCCCAGCCTTGTTGCTCTCCTCTGGACCTGCTCCAGCCCCTCCATGTCCTTCCTGAGCTGAGGGCCCAGAACTGGACACAGCACTCCAGGGGTGGCCTCACCAGCGCTGAGTCCAGGCCCACACAGGATGGCCAGTGCTGATGGAAGACACAGAGTCATTCCAAGGAAATGTGCTGCATGCCAGAGGGACTGCACACGCCTTCCCTCTGCCCCCTGCCATCCCACAAAGCTGCACAGACTCCTGAGCAGCAGCTTTATCACCATGTGGCATCTCTGCAAGTCCATAACCTTTTAGAGTGGCCTGAACAACCATTCCAGCAGAAGATCACTGACATTTGGGGTTTCTTGAGGCTGTGAGGAGGTTTTTTGTTTCATTTGTTTGGGGTTTTTTTTAACTAGAAAGGCTCAAAGGACCTGAGGGAATGGCTGGAGCTGTGCCAGAGGGGGGTTGGGATGGATCTCAGGGAAAGGTTCTTTCCCCAGAGGGTGGTGGGCACTGCCCAGGCTCCCCAGGGCAGTGGGCACAGCCCCAAGGCTGCCAGAGCTCCAGGAGGGTTTGGACAATGCTCTGAGGGACAGGGTGGGATTGTTGGGGTGTCCCGATGATCCTTGTGGGTCCCTTCCCACTCAGGATATTCCAGGATTCTACAAAAATCCTGTTGCGTTACTGCTGTTGACATTTCTGTATTTGTATGTGACAAATCAAGCCCCAACTCCTTAATTTAAGAGGGGTAAGAGGTGGAGAAGAACAAAAGAAAACCAGGGGGAACATGCCCAGAACTGTTCCCTCAGTTCTTGGAGGCTGCACAAAAAAAACTGCTGCAAAGCAGGGCTGAATGTGGAAGAAAAAGCTGTAATTTTAAACCAAAGAGCTGCCACCAATCCCAGGCACCATCAACAGGATGAAAAAATACAATATTTGCAATCTAATTGGAATTAAGGATTGACCAAAAAAAAGTTGCAAAAACTGGAGGCCAAGTTGCAGGCAATGGTTCCTCCAGGGTGGGATGAGCTCAGCTTCCCTTACAAGGCTCTGAGCTGCAGTTACAAGAGAGACACGAATGAAAAGCTCAGACTAATCCTAAAAGTCAAGTGATTTCTTTACAACATCTGGAATTCACCAACAACCCTTATTACAATAATCTCCCTGGCAGACTCCGGGCAGGTAATTGCTTGTACACTTGAGTGGACAAGGAAACATTTCCTGGGAGCTCTTCATCAAGAGCCAGCTCTCTTTAGAACCGTAATCAACCCAGTAAGTGACCTATGTTTTAGAAGAAATAAGAATTATTTCATGCCTAACAGCTTTATTTCTCCTCTGTGCTTTATTAAGCCCTGCTAAATACCACACCTAACAGCTCCTTGTCAGGACAAATGATCCCAACAGCCCTGTGGTGACAGGGCCACAGAAATACTCCCTCTAGTCACTTAGTCCTGGGTTTTTCCAAGCAGTTGTACTGGAATTTAGAAGCTTCACATGAAAAGTTCTCACAGTGTTTCTTGACTTTGAGTGTAAAGATAAGGGTGGGAAGGAACTTGTTCCAGGGCCTCACCACCCTCACATGCAAGAATTGCTCCCCAATATCCCACCTAACCCTCCCCTCTGGCAGTGGGAAGCCATTCCTGGCACTACAGAGATATCCAAACCTGAGATCCTTCTTTATCCCACACTCAGGGGGAGCTGCAAACCTCACACCTGCAGCCCTTGAGGATCATGGCAACCACAATGTGTGTCCTCAGCAAAAGAATCAGGCCATAGAAACACCCTCAGCCCCTGTCTGAAAGGGGTAGGGATATCCTTGCTTTCCATTTAGGGATCAGGGAAAGACATCCTGCAAGATGACACGTTATAGGACTGAAGGGAATGGCTGGAGCTGTGCCAGGGGGGTTGGGATGGATCTCAGGGAAAGGTTCTTCCTCCCCAGAGGGTGGTTGGGCACTGCCCAGGCTCCCCAGGGCAGTGGGCACAGCCCCAAGGCTGCCAGAGCTCCAGGAGGGTTTGGACAACACTCTGAGGGAACAGAAGGGGATTGTTGGGGTGTCCTGATGATCCCTGGGGGTCCTTTCCCACTCAGGATATTCCAGGATCCTACAGAAATCCTGCTGCATTGTTGCTGTGGATGTTTCTGTGTTTGTAGGGGACAAATTAACCCCAACTCCTTAAATAAAGAGGGGCAGGGGGTGGAGAAGAACAAAAGCAAACCCTGGGGAACATGTCCAGAACTCTTGGACAACTCTCTGAGGGACAGGGGGGGATTGTTGGGGTGTCCTGGGCAGGGCCTGGAGTTTGGCTGATGATCCTTGGGGGTCTCTTCCAGCTCAGAGTGTTCCATGACTCTGCTGTAACTCCTCTGCCTCTCCTCTCTCCACAACTGAAGCAGAGATTCCAAGAACAAATTCCCAAAGCACGACAAGAAATCCAACTGCTGCTGAGCAAGAGAACTTCCCACCCCCCCAACATCAACCAGAGCTTCGGGAAGGCACCTCCAGGCAGCTCCCAACTCCCTGAGCTGGGACAACTCACCTTGGCCAGCCCTGCCCGGTGAGCTCCTTGGGATTCCATGTGGGCGATGTACTTCCCAAAATCCCGGAATTCCTCCAGGCTGGGACGGAAGGTCATGATCTTACAGCCAGGGTTCTGCGGGCTCGGGTTTTCCGACCCCATATTTCCAGTGGGGCAGCTGAGGAGGGGAAAACAGCAAGGGAGAGGGGAAGAAGAGGGGAAAGAAACACAAATATTGGTTAAAAAATGTCGGGTTTAATGAATTTCACAGAAAAGATGGGGAGATTTGACAGTTTTTCTCCCCTCTGTTCCCCCAAGAGGATATTTGTAAGTGGGGATATGAAGAGGTTCTGACCAAAAAATCCACTTAGTCAGGAAGTCCTGATACCAGGATCATCCCAGAGACTGGATATGGGCTAAATATGGACCATGGGCTTCACATCTGCCCCCCCTCATGGCACAAAGTTGTGTCTCATCAGGATGGGGGTCACAAACCTTCTCAACACCTTCAGCATCTATTCAATGGGTAGAAGTTTTCCATCAAAATGCTCCATCCTGCTCAGTTTAGGTTCAAAACCAACAGTTTTCCCCCATGTTTGGTTCTTTTTCATGTGCTAGACAACATTAAAAATTCAAAAATTAGGGTTTTTTTTTAAAGGTAGCTTCATTATCCTTTGTATTTGCAATGTATATAGATAAAACAAAGCATCAGATAATTCTTTAAAGAAAGACTGATGCACAATTTCAAAACATCTTGCAATGTGAAAAGCTAAATTGCTCAATTTACTTCACAATTTCAAGGGGGAAAAAAAATCTCAAATAATTCAGGATGAAATCACAATTTTTAAAATGGATTTTTATTTTTAAGGTTATGCTGGAAATTTGTAAGAGAAAAAAATGTTTTTGTGGCATTTCAGCTGCAAACATAACTCTGAAAATATTCTCCATGTCAGAGAAGCAGCACAGCCAATATCCCAAACCCTCAGGAGGTGGCAGTGCTGGGCTGTGAAGGAATAAAAAGTGCAGCAACACTGTCAAAAGTGGCTTTTAAATCCAAGGAAAATACGTGTTTGGATTTAAACTGATTTCAAACTAGCCAAGCAGTATTCCAGATGCTACCAGAAGTACTCACTGTGTCAGGGAAAACAAAACAAAACAGGGAGAATAAAATAAAAATTAAAATTATCAGTCAAAACGCTGCTAAATCTGTGTTTTAATGGCTGGGTGTGGCAATGAACTCACTGCAGAGACAGCAAGTGCTCCCACCTTCTGGAATTAAACCCACTAATTTGGACAGATTCCATACCCAGGGCACCAAAGTTGCCTTTACCATTTTTAACTGGGTAAAACCATTTTTCATTTCAGAGGCAAACAAACAGTTTTGCCTTGAAATTTTAGAAACTCCAAACTTTTAGGATTCTTCAGAGGAACCTCTATGGGAATTTGTTTCCAAACAATGAGCTGCAAAGTCTTCAGCTCTTCCCCAGGGAGCCTTCAAAGGAATTTTAGGCGTAAAATCGCAGCCTCCCAAGGCCCACTCCAGGATAAAATCCAACTGTAAATCCCAATATTGCACAATATCCCAGAGCAAAACAAATGGAGGGAGAAGAGGTACCATTTTCACCACAAGAGCTGCGTTTCCAAGGGAAATTGTTGCAGTTTTTAAACAAAAAAGCCCTTTAAGCAACCCCTCCACCCTCAGGGCGGCCCTGCCCGAGGAGATCCCCGGCCTTGGCACCCAGGACAAAAACTGCTCTTTCAGGGTCAGGATTTGGAGAGAAGCAGCTCCACAAATGTTTTGCAGGAACACAAAAAGGAAAAGAGTGTCTCCCAGCCCTGAGGTGAAGCACAGGAGCCAGAGGTGCCCGAGGTTTCCTCTGGATCGCCCGGGAAAAACATCGTTCACCGGGAAAATCGGGCTGAAGGTTGGTGGGGAAGTGAGAAATCATCCCCAAACTTCCAGCCCAACACAATTCCCTGGGAATACTTCTGCTATTTTTAAGCTGGGCCTAGAAATGCCACCAAAGTTCAGGCAGCAGGACACGCCGGGAGGAGCTGCCTCAGGAAAGGAACTCGAATTCCGTCCTGAGGGGGATCCGTGCCAGCACCATCTGCTCCAGAGAGGCCTTCCCAGTATTTGCAGCTTTCCTCACACCCAGGGAGGGGAAAAAAAATAACCAAGGCCAGGTTTTATTCCTATCTTTTCCTCAAGATTGTCTCCAGGTTTTATCCCACCTTTTCTTCAAGGTTGTCTCCAGCAATTCCAATTTTTAGTCAATAAACTGGGAGCAAAGAGTCAAAATACATGCTGCATCAAAAACTACTTCATGCAAAGCTTATTCAATTAATTAAAAGGTAAAACTACTTCAGGCAAAGCTTAATCAATTAATTAAAGGGTCTTTTGCCTCCATACAAGTGACATCACCCAGAACTCTGGAATTCTGCAGAGCAGAGGTAGCAAAACACAAAATTTTTCCATGTTTAATCCCACCTGAAGGACATTTTAACACCTACCCTAGATAATGTACGTTCATCTAATTAAACTAATTAAGGTACTAATACAAAATGGCCAAGGAGCTCATGGGAAGGGAGAATCAGTCCAAGTATCTCAGGGAGACACATCCAAAGCTGCTGCCTGTCTGACCATCCCCCTCCAGCTCCAAGGAGCTGGGAACACCCAGGGAAAGCTCTGGGAGAAGGGAATTTCTTTCCCAGCTACTTCACACCGATGGATTTTGGATGAACAGTGGCAATATCTCCTGTCACCTCCTTCCCAGCTCCTGGTGTCCCACAGGCCGTGAGGCAGCGGGACAAGCCCAGGGCTGTCACAGCCCGGCCGAGCTGCTGCTTCCTTATGGAATTCTGAGGAGAGGGCCTCAATTAAGCAGTGCCCTAATGAGCTTCCCTCCCTCAGCATCACTGAGGGACGTTTCACAGCAGAATCTGCCTATTCTGAGCACACTGAAAGCCTCTTTCAGTGGCAGCTCTGCTGTGCTGAGGGTGAGGATGGGAACCAGCTCTTCTCTCGGCACTATCGATGCTGAAAAGGAGGATTCAGCAGAGTCTGAGCCCCCATTAGTTCTTGAAAAGAAGGGTGAAGGTATTTGGCTCAGCTGGGCTCACTCTGGGTCTTTGTGAGAGAGTAACAACCTGAAATATTATGGAAACCTCCTAATTTTCAACCATTGTGAGGAAACACTAAACTCGTCTCCAGAGGGACGATCTGGGTGCACACAAAGAGCTCAGTTTTTAATTGCAATGACTTTTACAGGAGACTCTTCCCTCCAAAACTGAACTGAGACACTACTGTGACTGAAACCCTGCACCTGTTGCCTGAAACCTTTGTATGGCAGAGAAAAAATTCAAGACACCCAGCCAAGATCAATGACTTGTGCTTGCTAAAGGACTTCCAGGACCGGGAATCCTTCCTCCAGGAAAAGTTTTGGGACTTTCAAGTAGTTCCCCACTGTTCCCCCACTATTGATCTGGGAGGAGCAGATAATGCCAACCCTTTTGAGCCAGGGGTGACTTTGATTGAAGTTGTGACTATTGGTGGGAACAAACCTGCCTTCAGGCACCAGCACTGGAGCCAAACCCTGTGCCCACCCCCAGGGCAACGCTCAGCCATCGATCCCGATGGGAACAGTGAAACCCAGCAGGATTGATCACCCAGGAGTCACTTTGTTTACTCAGGAACACCAGAAAACCATCTTTAATCTTGCTAAACACAGTTAATACCCTCACAGTTTCATGATAGACCAGAACACAGGAACCTGCAGAGCCCTTTGAAGGGCTAAAGGTAAAGTCCTGCCCAGGTGATGAACACCCTGTGTACAAGGGACAAACCCACCTCTGAACCACCTCCTGCCTCTCCAGAGCTGCAGTTTGCCACCACCAACCCCCCAAAAACTCCTCTCAGCTTTTTCCTAAAGGCCTTGAAGCCAAAACATAAACTGATGAAGGAAAATGCCCTCTGGAACGTGCACCCCTAGGAAAAAAGGAGAAAGCAGCAAAATCTGGGAAACAAAACCCTGGTGTGGAAGCTGCAGGTGGCAAAAATAATCTGGTGAGAGGAGGATGGACAGAGATTGTCAGAGAATCCCAGAATGGTTTGGGTTGGAACAGACCTCAGATCATCCAGTGCCACCCCCTGCCATGGGCAGGGACACCTTCTGCTAGCCCAGGGTGCTCCAACCTGGCCTTGGACAACTCCAGGGATGGGGCAACCTGTGCCAGGGCCTCCCCACCCTCCCAGGGAAGAAGTTCTTCCACACATCACACCTCAGTTTCCCCACTGGATGCAGCGAGCCAGGGGGGGTCTCATGAGAGCAGAGGAGAGGGGGAGAATCCCCTCCTTGGATCTGCTGGCCACTCTCCTCGGGATGCAGCCCAGGATTCCGTTGGCTTTCCGGGCTGGGAGCGCGCGCTGACGGCTCACGGGGACTTTCTGTCAACATTCCAAGAGGATTCCACGAGATTTCCCTCGGGTTGTGTTGGAAAAGGCTAAAAAGACACAGGGAAATATCCTCCCAAGTGCACCCTGCAACTGCTGCCAGCTCAGAGCAGGACACACGGACGTGAGCCTGCACAGGGGGCAGGCACAGGGGGTGGCACTGGGGGTGGGCACAGGGGCTGGCACTGGTCTCCCACCCTGCTGAAGGAAACAGAACCCCAGCCACCAAAATTTCACAGAATAAACAAAGCTCTGGCCAGGGTTTGAAGCAGGAGGAAATCTCCCAGCAGGACCCAGTTGGGCAGTGCCCGAGCTCCTGCCCGTGGCCATTTGTTCCTCTCCTGTGCCAAAGGGGATGATTTGTGGGCTCACTGTCCAAAATTCGCCAGGAGTGACTCTGGTTCCAGGGCTGGGCTTTGGAACAAGGCTGGGCTTCCAGGGGGTAGGACTTTTAGGACAATGGGGCAAAGCCACCAGCTCAAACCCCAGCCTGCAGATGTCAAACATCTGCCAGAGCCGGAGGAAAAGGCTTGGAGGGTTAAACTTTATTAGGAGGCACTTCCAACAAATCCTCCTGCTGCAACATCATCTCTCTCCCCCAAATAGGAGAGGTTGTCACTCCCTGAGTTCATTGGAGTTTGTCACACTGGACTGAGGGTTCCTGGTGCTCTCAGTGGAACTGCCCTTTCCTCACACAACACTGAACCCACAAACTCTTCATC